ATAATGACAAGTGTGTATAATTTTGTTATTATAATGAATTTTGTGGATGAAATTTGTATGTTCTTTTGATGACTAATTGTTATTTTTTTTAATGAAACAGGGAAATATGTTGATTCTCAGATGGAGGGGATTATATATGAATGTTCTAGTCTTTATAGTGGTTTAGTAAGTGCGATAACATCGTAACTAATGATAGATGGTGATATTAATGATATAGAGATAAAATATATACTTAAAAAATCATTAAGTAGTCCACATTTAAGACCAGTTATCGCTGCTCATTCCTTGATTCCAAAACGTAATTTTGTACCATTTATTTTCACAACAAACATGTCGTCTCTGACATTTTCAGATTCAAGAATCATCAAATGCCGCAATAGTTGACATTGAATCTTAATGTTGTGCATGTCATAAAATACACGAAAATGTGTTTGTTCCATAAATTGTTGAAACCTCTCTTGCTCGGGGAAAACCAACAGATCAACAAACACATTCATGTTTGTACATGAAGACCAGTGTGTATATCTTCCTTGCCTTTAACATAAAATTATTTATACTAAATTAAAACATACTTCATACAAGTATTATTCAAGTTTCATTCCAGTTGTAACTACAGTTTAAAGATAGTTATAATTAAATTATATCATATAAATTAAAATAAAAAAGAAATACAAAAATCAATAAAAAACATTAGAATAAAAAAAATAATAAAAAGTATGTTCATACAAGTATTATTCATGTTTAATACACATGCATATAGATAAATTTTAGTAATGCCTTATACCATATTTATAAAAAAATTCACACCAATTTTATTCAAACATCATACCATTTTTCATGTGCACTATGGCATTCATCAATCTACTTTCATAAATTTATCAACATACACTAAAAATAAATTAACAATTTTAATACATTAATGGATAAATTGAAAAAGAAACCTTCTTAATAGGGAAAAATCCCAATTTCATATAAAAATTATTCAAAATTTATACAAAAACAGAGTAATTAAATAATTCATACAAATTGCATACCAAGTTAATAATTCATACCATATACACAATTAAGAGACAATCACATCAATGTTAATATACCAATTCATACCATTTGCATATCAATATTGTATCAAAATTCATAGAATATCCATCAATCAAACATTAAATTTAGATTCATACACATTTTTTTTCAGATTTTGAACAATTTTTACACAAACAAATATTTCGAAAACAACAATAAGCATAATGTGATATAAAAAAATCACTATTTTGACTAATGTGAAAATAAATTAAATATAGTACTTATCCTAACAACTTTTTTTTTTTGTTTTTTGAATGATGATATTTCTGATTCCTTCTTTTTTGTTGTTCTTCTTGTTGATGGTTTTGAAGATTGAGCAACTTCTACATTTGTTGTTTTTTTTTCTTTTTGATTTCACTAGCAAAATTAGAATTGTAATCAAAAGGGGTTTCAATAATTTTCCTCTTCATCTTCTTCCCCTTTTGATTTGTCTGGATCGCCCTTTTCTTTGCTTCATTTTTTTTTCTCTTTCCGATCCTTCAACTGAGATGAACCACCCGTTGCCTGATTTTCAATATTCGCTGGATTTTCGACAAATTTAGAGGGGGGAGGGGGGTTGAGTTAATATATTGAAAGTTGGAACATGAACTTCATCAGTAGAAGTTCCTTCAACCAATCTGGGACTCTTTCGAGGCGTTCAAATGAGTTTCTTAGACATGATTTTGTTGAACAACTTAATTGGATGGATGATTGTGAAAATGGTGTAGTTGGCTAGTGAGAAAAATGGGAGAGACAAGGTGAAAGTGGGGTAGTGGGGGTGATGGCGTGTAGATTTGAATAGGCGTGGGTGGAGGGTGGTGGGATTGAGGTATAAGAGGTTTGGAGTGTAACATTAAACAAGGAAGTCTAATCTATGTAAATCCCTTAATATGTGTAACTGATGATTTCAGTTTTAAAAAAGGAATTGAAATCAAATTAATTAAATATTATAATTAATAATATAAAAATATAAACAGATTAATCATTTATTAAATAAATTGAAATTGATTTTTAAATTAAATTAAATTTAATTGATATGTTATAACCCGTAAATAAACTGTTATA